CTGACATGGTTTCCTTTTGCTTCTGATCTCTCAAACATATTGATTATAGTAAAACAATCACCAAGCATCTGAAAATCCTTCTCTGTGTCTACAGTGTGGAGGAGAGTGCCGTCTGTCTCGCCTCTCCTCTGACTGCTCTTGAAATTACTTGCTAAAGAGAGGCTGAGGGTTCTTCTGAGAGAGAATGAGTGTTAAATCAAACCCTTTGAGGAATCACACAACACCACCCACATAGCAAACAGCTTAACAGAGCAACTCACGGCTACCATTATTGACATGACTGTGTTACATCCTGATTTAACTCTGCCAGTTATAAGGGTGTACAGAACACAATGTGAGAATAAACACATCTCACACACACGCACGCACGCACGCACGCACGCACGCACGCACGCGCGCGCGCGCACTTCACTTTGCAAACAGAGAGTTTTATACAGAGGACAGTGAGTGGTGACATTCACTTATGTCTGGTCTTATGTGTGTTGCACAGCTCACAGTCAAATGTTTCTAAATCTCCCACAGATGATGATCTACACTCTTCTGACATATATAAAACTTCTACTGACAGACCAACAGACAGATAAATATACAGTATTAAGCAAAAGATGGAACAATATATAAAATGATGGAATGTTAAGAGAGAACAATAAAGATCTATAGAGAGATAGTGAGAATTTGTTAGAATGATATATATTTATATATAAATATATAGAAAAAGAAAACCTTGAACAACACAGCTCACGTTTCACGCATCTAATATGTGTGCAATCTTTGTGGTCAGAATTTATATGTATTTAAACATATGTAGTGATTATTCACAGAATATACAGTTCTGCTTGTGGAAATCACACATGAATGTTTTTCAAAGCCACAAACCTTACAAGTGTTGGCAAACCAAGAGACCAAGTGACCAAGATTTTAAGGCAATCAGATTTAATAAAAATAGCTATGTCTGAAAGCCAAAGTCACATGAGAGAGAGAGGAGAGAGCAGGTGTGTGTAGGTTTTTCCCTCCACAGAACATAAATCTCTCCTCACAGGCTGTCTCTGCAACAGCCTGTGACTCTTTTGATTGACACTTAGCCAAAACAGTTTGGTAATAAGACTATATTTCTCTGATACAAAGGAGTTTTTCCAATATATTTAATGTATAAAATACATACGTAAAAGACAAACATATACATAAATGACCAAACAATTGATACTTATAATGACAATGATAAAATAATTACTAAAACTTTAACAAAAATGAAAATGAAAATTGAAAATATAAAAATAACTCAAAATATGAATTATTATCCATAGTACCTCAATGATACTACAATAACATAAATAAATACTTACTATAATTATTATTAAATATATTTATATATAAAATAACAATAAATATATAAGCATAACAAAAAAATACTTTTCTAAATAAATAATAATATTATGATTTTAAATAGTATGCACTAATAAACTGCATGGTCAAATCAAGTGACATTTCTTGTGAAAATAAATGGGGTCCATTTTGGTTTATGTCTTTAAATTCTGTTTGAATTGCATTTATGGAAAAGCATGCACTTTTATATATCTGTGTATTTCTGGTCATCAATATTTTCTGGTCAAACTTTCCCCACTTTGTCTGTTTAACCCCTGCCTTGTCTCCAGGCCACTGTGAGAACAGACTGCCAGAACAGTATTTTACTGAGGACCAAAAGAGAAGTGGAGCACATTCGATATGTCCTCCCGTACAGGCCGAGGCCCAAATTCAGCAGTGGACAAAAAGGACTGTGGAAACACAAAAGAGCCGGTGCCGAATGTTAATTAGCCACTTAAAGAATGAAAGATTCTGCTCCCAGTTGCCCTTGCCTTCTTAATGACAAGGAACTTTGAGCAGCTTTCCCAGGCACTCCGCCAAAACACTCAGTCTATTCTTTTCTCTCTCTCTATCTATTCTTTAATTAATCTGCTTTTCTCATTTGTAAGGTTTTGTTCCAGCAGCTTCACTGTTTGTGCTCGGTGAAAGAGAGAATGACTCTTCAACACAAGAGAGAAAACTCCAAAACTCTCTCTCTGCTCTATTGTCACTCATGGCATCCTCTCTGTCAAAACCATCTGTTCCTAGAGACAATGGTGTCATGTCTGTGAAAAACGACCCAATTCAAGGCTTTATTTCATTGGTCGTAAAGCTTAATGTGGCTGGAATGCTCTCAGATATCGGAGCTATGCTGCTCACCAGAAGTATCCAAGCTAGTACATACTAATGAGCAAGTGTGTTAATTTCATACTGGACATGGTGATCAAAGATCTTTCAACTAATAATTTTACCCAGAAAAAATGGTTAAAATAGCTCAATATAATGTTTAATGGCATAAAAAATGCCCCATACAATCCTCTGGCTCATGACCAACCACACAACGTACAAGAGGACACAGCAGGTAGATTGACTTATACTGATAATCGGCATAAATGAAAGCAGAAATCAAAATGCCCTGATCCGCCAGCCTCTCATTATCACTTTAATTAAAGCAGCTTGGAAAGTACAGAATTTCCTGTATCGCTAAAGGTCTCTGGGAATGAGGGGAAGGGTCTCCTGGTGTCTGGAAGGAATGAAGCAAAGAGCATTTACACAAGGATTCAACACTTTCTTTAAATTCATTTGTTCATGGGTTTAAATGTCAGAATTGTCCAGAGGGCTCTCTCTCTCTCTCTCTCTCTCTCTCTCTCTCTCTCTCTCTCTCTCTCTCTCTCACACACACATTCAAAAACACAAATGAAGGCTATTTTTGCATTTTCAAATTTATATTTTAATACTATGTTCAAATGTATTTTTATTTCTGTATATTTAAAAAATCAGTTTAAAACACTTTTGTCTTCAAATTAAATTCTAATTTAATTTTAACTAAAACAAAAATAAAAATACATTTATTTTTTATTTAAAAGCATATTTTATAATTTATTTTAAATAAATGTAAACGTTAATAAAAAAAAAAAACAATAATACTGATTTATATATTCATTCATTCATTTGTTTATTATTCATCAATGACATTAAATTGTCTGTTAAAGTCAGCTGACAGTTTCTGGCCACTTTGTTCTGTAGTTCCTGTCCCTCTGAAGTGACTGCGGCAGCATTCATGCCAACTAGACTGATGATACATCTTCACTCTCTCTGTCTTCCTGTCGGTCTCTTTCCCAGCAAGTGTGTTAGCCGTGCCCTTAGTGTGAGTGCAGGGGTCAAATCTTCCAGCATAAATCAACATGGTCACTTCAGTCCCTTGTCTCAAAACAAGAGAACACACAGTCCAGTCTCGGAGATAATGAATCCCACTAAATTATTGTTTCTGATGTGGGAGACGGATAAATGCAGGTTGCACATGACTCATCTCACAAAGCTGACATGACTGCAGCTAGACCTAAATTATATAAATTAAAAATCACCTGACTTTGAATTGGCACTGTTCTCAGACGAGTACTATGATATCTGCAGCTTGTGAAACAATGCATGAAAAAACAGACATGACTGTGGGTCAGACAGAAGCTCTCAAAATACTCTCAAGCCTTAAAGTGAGCCTCCATTGTAAAAGGCAATATTCAACGACCCTCCATGCTTCTGCTGTAAATTCTCTATTTATATTCCCTATTTTATATATATATATAGGGAATATTACCATCTTGCGGCCCTCTCAAACTAGGGATATGCCGGTATCAGTTTTTCATGTTGCGATTAATTACTAATGCTTTTGTCATGGTATACGGTGTTATCACGATATTGAAATTTAGTTTTAAAAAAGTGCTGTCATAATACAGTATAACAGGTTTAATAACTTTTTTCTTATAACAAAAATAACTGAACATTTAAATGCAATAAAGCAATACAGAAAAATGTATAAAGTTAAAAGTTTTACACAGATTAAAGTGCAAAAGAACTATAAAGACCAATAGGTATCACTTTACAATAAGACCTCATTAGTTAACCTTAGTTAATGCATTAACATTCACAATGAGCAATAGCTATATTTGCTACAGAAGTTATTAATCTTTGTTTAAAAAATACAAGTCTTAGTTCTTGTTAGCTCATTAAATAACACAGTTGCAACTTTCGATTTTAACAACCTGTTATTAAATATTGGAATACCTAAGATTAATTAATGTTCAGAAGAATTTTTCATTGGCAGTTTATGTTAACTAATGAATTAACTAATGTTAACTAATGAAGCCCTAATGTAAAGTGTGACCGAACAATAAAGAATCAAAACACTTTCAAACAATATCTAGGGCATGTTGTAGTCCAGATTAAAATGTAAAAAAAGATTGAAAATAAATAGCCTATGAAGTCTAAATATTTAAGTATTTGGCACTGTGATGAACATCATAGCAAATACACAAATCTGAATGGCTGTTTAAATCATTTAAACACGATTCAGAAACAGAAAGTAGTGCAGCTGCTTTGGTTACAGGGTTTCCGGGGTAACGGCTGCATTTAAATGAAATTATTATTATTATTTCTGCAGTTTAGCACCATCTGCTGTCAGAGAGTGAAAGTGCGCTTTCATCCAGAGCATCTCGTACATGTTCCGCCATGTGCTTCTCATCC